ACCATTACATACAGTAATCCATGTTACCATTACATACAGTAATCAACGTAACCATTAAATACAGTAATCAATGTTACCATTACAAACAGTAATCCATGTAACCATTACATACAGTAATCCATGATACAATTACATACAGTAATCCATGTTACCATTACATACTGTAATCCATGTTATTACTATTTCACAAAGTAATCCATGTTACCATTGCATACAGTAATCCCTGTTACCATTACATACTGTAATCAATGATACCCTTACATACAGTAATCCATGTTACTATAACATACAGTAATCCATGTAACCATTACATACAGTAATCCATGATACCATTAAATACTGTAATCCATGTAACCATTACATACAGTAATCCATGTTACCATAACATACTGTAATCTATGTTACCATTACATACTGTAATCCATGATACCATTACATACAGTAATCCATGTTACCATTACATACAGTCATCCATGTTACCATTACATACTGTAAACCATGTTACCATTACATACAGTAATCCATGTAACCATTACCTACTGTAATCCATGTTACCATTACATACAGTAATCAATGTAACCATTACATACAGTAATCCATGATACAATTACATACAGTAATCCATGTTACCATTACATACTGTAATCCATGATACCATTACATACAGTAATCAATGTCACCATTACATACTGTAATCCATGTTACCATTACATACTGTAATCCATGTTACCATTACATACTGTAATCCATGTTATTACTATTTCATACAGTAATCCATGTTACCATTGCATACAGTAATCCATGTTACCATTACATACTGTAATCCATGATACCATTACATACTGTAATCCATGTTACCATTACATACTGTAATCTATGTTACCATTATATACTGTAATCCATGATACCATTACATACTGTAATCCATGTTATCATTACATACTGTTATCCATGACACCATTACATACTGTAATCCATGTTACCATTACATACAGTAATCCATTTTACCATTACATACAGTAATCCATGTAACCATTACATACTGTAATCCATGTTACCATTACATACATTAATCCATGTAACCATTACATACAGTAATCCATGATACAATTACATACAGTAATCCATGTTACCATTACATACTGTAATCCATGTTACCATTACATACTGTAATCCATGTTACCATTACATACACTAATCCATGTAACCATTACATACAGTAATCCATGATACAATTACATACAGTAATCCATGTTACCATTACATACAGTAATCCATTTTACCATTACATACAGTAATCCATGTAACCATTACATACTGTAATCCATGTAACCATTACATACAGTAATCCATGTTACCATTACATACTGTAATCCATGATACCATTACATACTGTAATCCATGTTATCATTACATACTGTTATCCATGACACCATTACATACTGTAATCCATGTTACCATTACATACTGTAATCCATGTTATTACTATTTCACAAAGTAATCCATGTTACCATTGCATACAGTAATCCATGTTACCATTACATACTGTAATCCATGATACCATTACATACAGTAATCCATGTTACTATAACATACAGTAATCCATGTAACCATTACATACTGTAATCCATGTAACCATTACATACAGTAATCCATGTTACCATTACATACAGTAATCCATGATACCATTAAATACTGTAATCCATGTAACCATTACATATATAGTAATCTATGTTACCATTATATACAGTAATCCATGTTACATGTATAACTATTACACAAAGTAATCCATACAGTTATTTGATACATTTAAATGATGTACAAACAGACTTACCATTACGAATATACTGATGACTTCCCGTAAAAAGTACATGTTAGCTATGCCGATCAGAACGTTGTTGAAAGCTATCGCTGCTGGTTCCGTTACTTTTGTAAAGGAATAACTGCCGGCCTACAACAGAGACCATGATGACCTGAGATGTGTTAGGAAGGATAACAGGAGCAACAACAAAGAACATGAAGACCTGAGATGAGTAAGGAAGGATAACGGGAGCAACAACAGAGACCATGATGACCTGAGATGAGTTAGGAAGGATAACAGGAGCAACAACAGAGACCATGATGACCTGAGATGAGTTAGGAAGGATAACGGGAGCAACAACAGAGGATAAGAAAACATATCCCTACAAGTTCTATGATAATAGGTCCAAACTATCTACTTTACTTCTACCATAAAATGATTAGTCTAAAATGTTGGGTCTACTCTGTTATGTGGGCAGATAAAGAAACATGTTTTTTTGTTGTAGACATGTTATCCATGTTGTGTAAATGTTAACCATAGTTGTTATACTAGATACCTTACCACCTATCTTATGACCATAGCTGTTATTAGAACAGCTGTTATTAGAACGTAAAACACAGACAAATCAAACCAAACTTACCGCCTTTAGACTGGCAACAAGGACAGGGTCAGCAGCCACTGTGGCATTAACTATGACAGGACATGATCGGACATCATCCAGCAAACTGGTTGTGATCTTTGGTACTAGGCCAATGTAGGTGAGGAGGATGACCAAGTAAATCAGGTAACTAGCTAGGTTAAGGTAGAACAGGATACGCCCAAAGTTCCTCCTGTCAAACAGAAACATGGTGATATTATCACAGGTAAATCTGGAAATACATGTACATTTAACACGATTAGGACTTACTTAACCAGACACAGGTAAATCTGGTTATACATGTACATTTAACAAGAGTAGAGACTTACTTAACCAGACACAGTTAAATCTGGTAATACATGTACATTTAACACGATTAGAGACTTACTTAACCAGACACAGGTAAATCTGGTAATACATGTACACTTAACACGATTAGAGACTTACTTAACCAGACACAGGTAAATCTGGTAATACATGTACATTTAACACGATTAGAGACTTACTTAACCAGACACAGGTAAATCTGGTAATACATGTACATTTAACACGATTAGAGACTTACTTAACCAGACACAGGTAAATCTGGTAATACATGTACATTCAACACGATTAGAGACTTACTTAACCAGACACAGGTAAATCTGGTAATACATGTACATTCAACACGATTAGAGACTTACTTAACCAGACACAGGTAAATCTGGTAATACATGTACATTCCAGACACAGGTAAATCTGGTAGTACATGTACATTTAACACGAGTAGGACTTACTTAACCAGACACAGGTAAATCTGGTAATACATGTACATTTAACACGGGTAGGACTTACTTAACCAAACACAGGTAAATCTGGTAATGCATGTACATTTAACACGAGTAGGACTTACTTAACCAGACACAGGTAAATCAGGTAATGCATGTACATTTAACACGAGTAGGACTATACAATAGTTATTTATTTAACCAGACACAGGTAAAACAGCTAATTATATACAGTTGGTTATTATTTTACCTGACGATATTCACAGTAAGACAGTACACTCTTACCTTACCCGATGACAAACACAGGTTAATCAGTAGAACCTACATGTACATTAACATTTAGCAATTTTAGTTAAAAAAGTCCGTGTTGAAAATCATACGTTTGTAAAAGTAAGAACACAAAAAACATACAGCAAAGAAAATTTCATGGCTGGCTTAACTAGCGCAAATTGGGAAGACTGTTTTAATGCAAAGGATGTAGATAGTACATGGGTAGCCTTCAAAATCATTTTTATGACGGTTTTAGACACAGTTGCAGCTGTGAAAGAGGTACGAGTTAAACAACGGAGCGAACCATGGAATACACCAGAGATTTTAGAAAATATTAAACACAGAGATGGTTTCCTGAATTTATTCACAACTAGTAAAAATAATGAGGACTACATATCTTACTGTACCCTTAGAAACAAAGTACAAAGGGATGTAAAAGATGCTAAGTCAAATTACTTTTCGGAAAAAATAGAAGAAAACAAACATGATTCAAAGAAATTATGGCTGGATACTGGTTATTACAGACCAGTAAGTATATTGAGCATTGTCTCTAAATTATTGGAACGAACGGGGTATTCGCAGATGGAAGCATTTCTGATAAAAAAAAAACAACCCACATGCTTTATGAATATCAATCAGGGTTTAGGAAGGCATACTCCACTGATACCTGTCTTATACATTTTCTAGACCACATTAAATGTAATACTAGTAAAGGTCTATACACTGGCATGTTGCTACTAGACCCTCGCAAAGCTTTTGACATGGTTGACCATGACATTCTGTGTGGCAAGTTGAAAATGATGGGTGTGACATCTGTAAATTGGTTTAGATCATATCTGAGTAACAGACATCAGACAGTCAAAATTAACGATATCTACTCGGACCCAGCTACTATTACGTGTGGGGAACCACAAGGTAGTATTTTAGGCCCTCTTTTATTCTTATGATACATTTTTGTATGTCAACGATATGGCAATCAGCATTGATGGAAAATGCAAATTACTATTATATGCCGATGCCAGTGTTATCCTTTTCGCACATAAAAGCCCAGAAATAATTTCCACGAAACTTGGTGCTGTACTTGAATCATGTGCAGAGTGGTTAGTTGATAATAAACTTTCGTTGAATTTAGGTAAAACAGAGAGCATGCTATTTGGAACGAAAAAAAATAAAAATAAAATTGATCATTTTGAAATTGTCGCAAACAATCATACCATCAAATCAACAAACTCTGTGGAGCTAATATAGATTGTTGTATGTCTGGCGAAGAAATAGTAGAAAACATCGTGAGGAAAGTAAATTCTAGACTGAAATTTTTATACAGACAAAGCAAATGTCTAACTACAAAAACCAGACAAAGTTTATGTTCTGCACTTATACAGCGTCACCTAGAGTATGCATGCTCCGCGTGGTACTCAGGATTGAACAAGAAAATGAAGAACAAATTACAGGTTTTACAAAATAAAGTTGTCAGATTTATTAGCCAATTAGAACCCAGAACGAGTATCACTCCCACTGAACTGTTAAAGCTCAATATGTTAAATATAGAATATAGAGTCAAACAATTAAGACTCAATCATGTGCACAAGAGTTTTTTATGTAAAATGTCCATCCTACTTAAACCTAAACTTCATAAAAGTGTCAGGTGTTCATCAGCATAACACACGATCGTGTCCTTTTAATTTTGTTGTTACACCATGTAAAGGGAAAGATACCTGTACTTTTTATTTTAACGGGATTCATGACTGGAATAGTCTGCCTGACAAAATCAAGGGTATAAAATCCATATATGCATTTAAGGCAGCAGTGAAGAAACAACTCGCTTTTAAATTTCAAAATGCATGCTGATAACACAATTATATGTGAGTGCGGTGGCACAAAACAAGTAGACTTTGCTGGTAGGGAGATCCCCAACCCTAAGAAAACAAACTTTGTGTCACTGCAATCCACGTGCTGAGGACATCTGTACCGTATATTTTTGTTATTTAGAAATAGTTGAAAAGTCACGTTACATATTTTAAGTTGGGCTAACTATTTAAACCTGAACATATATATATATGTGTGTTTTTTAGATTATATAGTCATTACGGAATTACTGAAGGTACTGACAATAAAGTTAATATGTTGTCATTCATTCCCTCCTGCCAAAATCTTTCCCCGTGATCAATATAACATGGACCCCATTGGAAATAAGCTTTCGAGCTTTCATGGGCTATCCTCAGGTTTATAGATCAATGTTTGTGTTGTATTAATTGTATAAATAAAATTACCTATATCTTAAAATCAGTTATGAATTTTAGTTTCATATATGATATAATATTTTAAGATAATACAATGTTTTATTACTGACGATAATTTAATTCATGTAGGTTCATTAGTATTTGAGCGTCCGGAGAGCTTGTAGGAAGGGGATGCCCAATCACCTGCTCCTTGGACTGCCCCAAAAACCTGTGATATTCTGTTTAATATTTTTAGTAATATATATGTATGTTGTACTGTAATATGTATGTCAACTGTCATGTTACATGTGATGTCTATGATCTATTTCCTGAAATAAACATTATTATTATTTACTTGACCCGTTGTAAACATTACAATAATCCAGCCTTACATCAGTCTGACGTTAATGATGACTCACCACTTCATGAGGAGGAGACTTTGTACGAGGGTGTGGCCCAAAAGATCCTCTCGTTTCCTTTCCACCATTGTCTGCCAACCAAGTGCAGCAAGCATGACAATTATTCAAAATACAGAAAACTACCGTAGTATGGTAATAAGAAGGCCATTGTGAAATGAGGCTCATTTCACCATTTATTATGGTCATATGAAACGCCCATGGTGGAATGAAGGCTACCATAAAAAAAAATTCTGACCATTTTTTTCCTTTTTTCATTAATTTTCTTTTAGTTTACTTCGATGTGTTCTGCTATACATATGAAAATCTCAAAAATAAAGTCTGAGAAATCAAGAGTGGGACAGGGGGTTTACTTTTCCATTATGGTGAAATGAAGGGTTTTAGCCAGTTAAATCAGGGGTAGAGAAATTTAGGGTTGGGCAGGGGGGCTTATAAGGTGACACCCCCTGTGTAACCCTAAATTTCTCTACCCTGAGACTTATTTTTTGTGATTTTCAGATAGAAAACATCAAATTGAAGTACACTAAAAGAAAACAAACAGAAACAAGTTTGTCAGAAAAGAAATTGGTGGTAGCCTTTATTCACCATGGGCGGTTCATATGACCATAATGGTGAAATGAACTGCGGTTCATTTCACTGTGGCCTTCATATTACCATACTACAGCAATATAACATTTAACCGTGACATTTATACTTGTTTTACAGATGAATAAAGTTACCACTCTGTATGAGATTTATGTAAAAATCGTTGAAGTTTTCAGATTGAGTTTTTAATGTGGATACATCAAGGTGTTTATATTTTTTAACATGGTTTTGACAAAAGGTTTCACTGTACCCATACAACATTTGTACCTACATTAACAGCGAAGTATCTGATTTGCGCACAGCTGAGATCACCTGGCCCTGGATCAAGGTACTTGAAGTCGTGTTTAACCTGAAAAGTGGATTATTTTTAAGATACACAGTGCATCAATTTGTATTCACCTAAGACATTCGGAGCAGATTATGCTATCAAACTGTTGGTCCATCTGTCTAATTTTTGCTTAACATTTTTACATTAAAATCATATGAAAACAGAAAAGACACCTATTGTAACAAGGGATGCTGTGTTAATGCAAATAAGAATAACGATTCTTAGATGCCATTGCAAAGTGTGAACCAATGATTAAAATATCATTAGAAAACACAGCATCTTAAAGTATTGAATCTTTTTTAAACTTTATGTATGTGAACCAAGCTTGCATTCATGATTAGTCGACAGTGACATGTATTTCCCTCTCCTGGTTTCATTCTTTGCATTGGTATATTTCATATGTTTGTAATGCTCTGTTATGCAGTGTTCTTGTTTATGACATCAGGTAGGAGAGATGTACGGTAAATTATCTTTTCTGTACTAATTCACTTTTCTTATTACTCAGTATTATCTATAAATGATTGAAAACATATGATCCTCTGGTACTAGAATTTTAAATTGAGGTTTCACACAGAATCAGGTGAAGTACTAAATATATCATGAAATACAGGTATATACAGTTAACATTATAGAGATATGATATGATTCTTTTAAACAATAAAATGGAGCTATATACTGCCGTTAAACACCATTCAATTCATTTATTGATTTTAGGCATTATATATTACAGTCCATCAGTATAACATACATAATTATACATGAGAGAACAGCATGGGGAACATTTCAATGAGTTGGAATTATATAGATTATGTCCCTAGCTTATTAGCTTCAAAAATGAATTTACCAAGAACACAAAGTATTTCTATAAATGAACATTGATGTTTTTTTCTCAGTAGAAGTTTTGAATATAACAACTTCTATAACTCACAGTGTATTGAAGGTCATCCTTCCTATGGTCCGAGTACTCCAAACAGTTGTCCATTACCACCTGGTCAGTATAGGTCAAACCAGTCAATACACGGCAACACATTACAATATACGCTGTACTATTAACATTTAAAAGTGAAACTTCCTACATTTAAAAACAAAAACACATTTGTCACTAATTTGAAGTTCCATTAAAGTACTGTGCGATGTATTGGTGCTAATCAATGCTTATTGTGGAGAACTATTGAAACACCACTGAAACACCAATGATTTTGGGACCATTTCTTTTAGCTAAGGGTACTTAAACAAACATGAAAGAAAACAAAGTCTTTCTCTGCACGTAACCTGTTCATTGATCATTTGACATTCTATAAATTATGCTATATGCATTACTAGATTTGTTAAGTTACTGAAGTGTCTCTGACACCAGGTGTGAATGTAACAAGGTGTGTCAGTAAACTAGATTACCTGACAATAAACCAGATTACCCGACAATAAAGCAGATTATCTGACAATAAACCAGATTACCTGACAATAAACCAGAGTGAAAATTTAAAAGCAGATTACCTGACAATAAAACAGATTACCTGACAATAAAACAGATTACCTGACAAGAAACTATGATTATAAAGGTAGGTTTACCATGGCAGCTTCTGGAACTTTCTCTATTAGACGCTTCATAGGAGTAAACCCATCTTCATCTCTCATTTCCATACTGTCTCTCCAGCTGTAAAGATAATGGTCGCATGGGCATTACAGGTTTACAGCATGCAGTACACAACAGCCTGTATCATAGATCTGTCCTCAACAGTTATATTGAGATGAATATGTGTTTGCTGGTGATTAGTATCAAAATATATACTCAACCAAAACAAAGCTTTGATAACAGTTCTTAAATTTAAATTTTACCTTCACATCCATCTTCACATTTGTCCCTTACAAGTGACCTTGAACTTTGATATTGACCTTCGTGTACACATGATTGAAGATAAGAAAGCATGGAGGTTTTTTTTCTTTATTAACGCTTGACAGGAGCTGACCCTAAAGGTGTGCTGCTCTAGTGGCAAGGTACCTTTGTCTCAAAAACTCCAGTTAAAAATTTGAGTGAAAATTTAAAAGCAGAAAGACAATCATTTCAAAAAGAAAATGTGCGGTCTGTGAAATGAGTCCTCACCTACAGTGTTTCAGCATCTCTATGACAACATCTGTGTACTTGTTTTCAATAGCAGCATCCAAAGGTGTCTTGCCATAGCTGTTTCTGCATGTGACCTTGGCGTTACGGGATAATAACAGTTTGGCAGTGTCTGCATGTCCATGATACGCAGCTATATGGAGAGGCGTGTTCTGTGGCAGAAAGGATATTTTTGTAATTTTAAGATTAATCTGTATCATTCTGTAGATCATATGTAAGGGCTATCATCATTTGTTTAATTTTACGTCAAATAGACATGAGAGGAGAGTTGTCAACTAGTCAATTATTTACTCTGACATTTTCATTGACTTGCCGTAACATTGAGATTGGTTCACCTTGACCTTAAACTTGTCACTGGTTTACTTTGACCTTATCATCAAATGGCCTTGACCTTGTCACTGATTTATATTGACATCATCACTGATTTACCTGACCTTGTCATTAATTTACTGAATTATCTCAATACTGATTTACCTGGAACTTGTCAGTTATTTACCTTGACATTTTCATTTATTTGCCTTGACTTTGTCACCAATTTACCTTGAGCTTGTCACTAATCGGCCTTGACCTTGGGACTGATTTACATTGACCTTACCAATGATTTACCTTGACCATGTCTTTGATTAACCTTGACATTGTCTTTGATTTACCTTGACCTTGTCACTGTGATTAATTTCTGCATAGTTTTCCAGCAGGAGCCTGACCAGCTTGGTGTGTCCAGCAGCTGTAGCCAGCATGGTAGCCGTTCTGTATTCTTCATCCCTGTTATGACATGTAACTCATAGTTAATTACACCAACTTTTAAGGGTCATCTCAAGATAAACATACAAACTTCTTAGACAACCACACCAACAGGGACCTCACTGTATAGTGGACACTCATACAATTTAGATCACCTGATGTTTCTATTTCCTTGCAGTTATACATTTATCAACTAAATAAGCTTTTTCACCTGGTTTATGAGTTTTAAGCAGTGACTGTGACTACCTACTTCATAGACAGGTCAGCTCCGTGGTACAGGAGAGCCTGTGCTGTGTTGTAGTTTCCTGTCTCGGCCGCTATCATGATGGGTGTTTTACCATCACTGTCCATGTCATTGAGCTCTGTTTGACTGGCCTGCATCAGAATATCAATCACCTTTGAGTTGCTGTACCTAGAACAGAGAATTCCGTCATCAGTAACCTTTGTGTTACTGTATCTAGTCGTGTTACTGTGGCTGGCCACCATCAATGCTGGCCAGATTAAATACTGTTTAGGAATAACTTCCATAAAAAAACACTACCTTATCTGGTGATACTTACTCAGCAGCTATATGTAATGGTGTTTTGCCATTCTGATCTCTGGCATCCAATCTACAGCGGTGCTTCAGAAGTGCGTTAAGAATCTGTTTTAACAAAAATGCACATGAATTTAAACTCAAAATCATCCACATGTGTTCACTGTACCGGTGTATTAAGGCTCCTCGTACCACTGCAAAAAAAAAAATACACATCATGTAAGTGATGGAAACTGATTTGTTCAGTATGACTATAGCTTTGATCAATCGTTTGTGAACCCCACCCTAACATCTTACCCACCACCAACAAACTCCCAACATACCAACATGTCCCCCAGCCTGGCTGCATAGTGAAGGGCTGTCTGGTCCCTCTGGTCCAAACATTCCATTACAGAAGCACAGCCATTCTGGAAAGAAGGAATAAGTTAAAATATCCGATAGTGATGATATTTCTAGTAGCTGACGGAGAATGATCTCATAGCAGCCTTGCTTCCTGGAGTGAGGTCTTTGTTGTCACTGAAGTAAGGTATTTTTTGTCAATGAAGTAAGGTATTTCTGGTCACTGAAGTAAGGTCTTTCTTGTCACTGAAGTAAGGTGTTTCTGGTCACTGAAGTAAGGTGTTTCTGGTCACTGAAGTAAGGTCTTTGTTGTCACTGAAGTAAGGTCTTTCTTGTCACTGAAGTAAGGTCTTTCTTGTCACTGAAGTAAGGTCTTTCTTGTCACTGAAGTAAGGTCTTTCTTGTCACTGAAGTAAGGTCTTTCTTGTCACTGAAGTAAGGTCTTTCTTGTCACTGAAGTAAGGTCTTTCTTGTCACTGAAGTAAGGTCTTTCTTGTCACTGAAGTAAGGTCTTTCTTGTCACTGAAGTAAGGTCTTTCTTGTCACTGAAGTAAGGTCTTTCTTGTCACTGAAGTAAGGTCTTTCTTGTCACTGAAGTAAGGTCTTTCTTGTCACTGAAGTAAGGTCTTTCTTGTCACTGAAGTAAGGTCTTTCTTGTCACTGAAGTAAGGTCTTTCTTGTCACTGAAGTAAGGTCTTTCTTGTCACTGAAGTAAGGTCTTTCTTGTCACTGAAGTAAGGTCTTTCTTGTCACTGAAGTAAGGTCTTTCTTGTCACTGAAGTAAGGTCTTTCTTGTCACTGAAGTAAGGTCTTTCTTGTCACTGAAGTAAGGTCTTTCTTGTCACTGAAGTAAGGTCTTTCTTGTCACTGAAGTAAGGTCTTTCTTGTCACTGAAGTAAGGTCTTTCTTGTCACTGAAGTAAGGTCTTTCTTGTCACTGAAGTAAGGTCTTTCTTGTCACTGAAGTAAGGTCTTTCTTGTCACTGAAGTAAGGTCTTTCTTGTCACTGAAGTAAGGTCTTTCTTGTCACTGAAGTAAGGTCTTTCTTGTCACTGAAGTAAGGTCTTTCTTGTCACTGAAGTAAGGTCTTTCTTGTCACTGAAGTAAGGTCTTTCTTGTCACTGAAGTAAGGTCTTTCTTGTCACTGAAGTAAGGTCTTTCTTGTCACTGAAGTAAGGTCTTTCTTGTCACTGAAGTAAGGTCTTTCTTGTCACTGAAGTAAGGTCTTTCTTGTCACTGAAGTAAGGTCTTTCTTGTCACTGAAGTAAGGTCTTTCTTGTCACTGAAGTAAGGTCTTTCTTGTCACTGAAGTAAGGTCTTTCTTGTCACTGAAGTAAGGTCTTTCTTGTCACTGAAGTAAGGTCTTTCTTGTCACTGAAGTAAGGTCTTTCTTGTCACTGAAGTAAGGTCTTTCTTGTCACTGAAGTAAGGTCTTTCTTGTCACTGAAGTAAGGTCTTTGTTGTCACTGAAGTAAGGTCTTTCTTGTCACTGAAGTAAGGTCTTTCTTGTCACTGAAGTAAGGTCTTTCTTGTCACTGAAGTAAGGTCTTTCTTGTCACTGAAGTAAGGTCTTTCTTGTCACTGAAGTAAGGTCTTTCTTGTCACTGAAGTAAGGTCTTTCTTGTCACTGAAGTAAGGTCTTTCTTGTCACTGAAGTAAGGTCTTTCTTGTCACTGAAGTAAGGTCTTTCTTGTCACTGAAGTAAGGTCTTTCTTGTCACTGAAGTAAGGTCTTTCTTGTCACTGAAGTAAGGTCTTTCTTGTCACTGAAGTAAGGTCTTTCTTGTCACTGAAGTAAGGTCTTTCTTGTCACTGAAGTAAGGTCTTTCTTGTCACTGAAGTAAGGTCTTTCTTGTCACTGAAGTAAGGTCTTTCTTGTCACTGAAGTAAGGTCTTTCTTGTCACTGAAGTAAGGTCTTTCTTGTCACTGAAGTAAGGTGTTTCTTGTCACTGAAGTAAGGTGTTTCTGGTCACTGAAGTAAGGTGTTTCTTGTCACTGAAGTAAGCTTTTTGTTGTCACTGAAGTAAGGTCTTTGTTGTCACTGAATAAGGTCTTTCTTGTCATTGAAGTAGGTTCTTTCTTGTCACTGGAGTAGGTTCTTTCTTGTCACTGAAGTAGGTTCTTTCTTGGCACTGAAGTAAGGTCTTTCTGGTCACTGAAGTAAGGTCTTTCTTGTCACTGAAGTAAGGTCTTTCTTGTCACTGAAGTAAGGTCTTTCTTGTCACTGAAGTAAGGTCTTTCTTGTCACTGAAGTAAGGTCTTTCTTGTCACTGAAGTAAGGTCTTTCTTGTCACTGAAGTAAGGTCTTTCTTGTCACTGAAGTAAGGTCTTTCTTGTCACTGAAGTAAGGTCTTTCTTGTCACTGAAGTAAGGTCTTTCTTGTCACTGAAGTAAGGTCTTTCTTGTCACTGAAGTAAGGTCTTTCTTGTCACTGAAGTAAGGTCTTTCTTGTCACTGAAGTAAGGTCTTTCTTGTCACTGAAGTAAGGTCTTTCTTGTCACTGAAGTAAGGTCTTTCTTGTCACTGAAGTAAGGTCTTTCTTGTCACTGAAGTAAGGTCTTTCTTGTCACTGAAGTAAGGTCTTTCTTGTCACTGAAGTAAGGTCTTTCTTGTCACTGAAGTAAGGTCTTTCTTGTCACTGAAGTAAGGTCTTTCTTGTCACTGAAGTAAGGTCTTTCTTGTCACTGAAGTAAGGTCTTTCTTGTCACTGAAGTAAGGTCTTTCTTGTCACTGAAGTAAGGTCTTTCTTGTCACTGAAGTAAGGTCTTTCTTGTCACTGAAGTAAGGTCTTTCTTGTCACTGAAGTAAGGTCTTTCTTGTCACTGAAGTAAGGTCTTTCTTGTCACTGAAGTAAGGTCTTTCTTGTCACTGAAGTAAGGTCTTTCTTGTCACTGAAGTAAGGTCTTTCTTGTCACTGAAGTAAGGTCTTTCTTGTCACTGAAGTAAGGTCTTTCTTGTCACTGAAGTAAGGTCTTTCTTGTCACTGAAGTAAGGTCTTTCTTGTCACTGAAGTAAGGTCTTTCTTGTCACTGAAGTAAGGTCTTTCTTGTCACTGAAGTAAGGTCTTTCTTGTCACTGAAGTAAGGTCTTTCTTGTCACTGAAGTAAGGTCTTTCTTGTCACTGAAGTAAGGTCTTTCTTGTCACTGAAGTAAGGTCTTTCTTGTCACTGAAGTAAGGTCTTTCTTGTCACTGAAGTAAGGTCTTTCTTGTCACTGAAGTAAGGTCTTTCTTGTCACTGAAGTAAGGTCTTTCTTGTCACTGAAGTAAGGTCTTTCTTGTCACTGAAGTAAGGTCTTTCTTGTCACTGAAGTAAGGTCTTTCTTGTCACTGAAGTAAGGTCTTTCTTGTCACTGAAGTAAGGTCTTTCTTGTCACTGAAGTAAGGTCTTTCTTGTCACTGAAGTAAGGTCTTTCTTGTCACTGAAGTAAGGTCTTTCTTGTCACTGAAGTAAGGTCTTTCTTGTCACTGAAGTAAGGTCTTTCTTGTCACTGAAGTAAGGTCTTTCTTGTCACTGAAGTAAGGTCTTTCTTGTCACTGAAGTAAGGTCTTTCTTGTCACTGAAGTAAGGTCTTTCTTGTCACTGAAGTAAGGTCTTTCTTGTCACTGAAGTAAGGTCTTTCTTGTCACTGAAGTAAGGTCTTTCTTGTCACTGAAGTAAGGTCTTTCTTGTCACTGAAGTAAGGTCTTTCTTGTCACTGAAGTAAGGTCTTTCTTGTCACTGAAGTAAGGTCTTTCTTGTCACTGAAGTAAGGTCTTTCTTGTCACTGAAGTAAGGTCTTTCTTGTCACTGAAGTAAGGTCTTTCTTGTCACTGAAGTAAGGTCTTTCTTGTCACTGAAGTAAGGTCTTTCTTGTCACTGAAGTAAGGTCTTTCTTGTCACTGAAGTAAGGTCTTTCTTGTCACTGAAGTAAGGTCTTTCTTGTCACTGAAGTAAGGTCTTTCTTGTCACTGAAGTAAGGTCTTTCTTGTCACTGAAGTAAGGTCTTTCTTGTCACTGAAGTAAGGTCTTTCTTGTCACTGAAGTAAGGTCTTTCTTGTCACTGAAGTAAGGTCTTTCTTGTCACTGAAGTAAGGTCTTTCTTGTCACTGAAGTAAGGTCTTTCTTGTCACTGAAGTAAGGTCTTTCTTGTCACTGAAGTAAGGTCTTTCTTGTCACTGAAGTAAGGTCTTTCTTGTCACTGAAGTAAGGTCTTTCTTGTCACTGAAGTAAGGTCTTTCTTGTCACTGAAGTAAGGTCTTTCTTGTCACTGAAGTAAGGTCTTTCTTGTCACTGAAGTAAGGTCTTTCTTGTCACTGAAGTAAGGTCTTTCTTGTCACTGAAGTAAGGTCTTTCTTGTCACTGAAGTAAGGTCTTTCTTGTCACTGAAGTAAGGTCTTTCTTGTCACTGAAGTAAGGTCTTTCTTGTCACTGAAGTAAGGTCTTTCTTGTCACTGAAGTAAGGTCTTTCTTGTCACTGAAGTAAGGTCTTTCTTGTCACTGAAGTAAGGTCTTTCTTGTCACTGAAGTAAGGTCTTTCTTGTCACTGAAGTAAGGTCTTTCTTGTCACTGAAGTAAGGTCTTTCTTGTCACTGAAGTAAGGTCTTTCTTGTCACTGAAGTAAGGTCTTTCTTGTCACTGAAGTAAGGTCTTTCTTGTCACTGAAGTAAGGTCTTTCTTGTCACTGAAGTAAGGTCTTTCTTGTCACTGAAGTAAGGTCTTTCTTGTCACTGAAGTAAGGTCTTTCTTGTCACTGAAGTAAGGTCTTTCTTGTCACTGAAGTAAGGTCTTTCTTGTCACTGAAGTAAGGTCTTTCTTGTCACTGAAGTAAGGTCTTTCTTGTCACTGAAGTAAGGTCTTTCTTGTCACTGAAGTAAGGTCTTTCTTGTCACTGAAGTAAGGTCTTTCTTGTCACTGAAGTAAGGTCTTTCTTGTCACTGAAGTAAGGTCTTTCTTGTCACTGAAGTAAGGTCTTTCTTGTCACTGAAGTAAGGTCTTTCTTGTCACTGAAGTAAGGTCTTTCTTGTCACTGAAGTAAGGTCTTTCTTGTCACTGAAGTAAGGTCTTTCTTGTCACTGAAGTAAGGTCTTTCTTGTCACTGAAGTAAGGTCTTTCTTGTCACTGAAGTAAGGTCTTTCTTGTCACTGAAGTAAGGTCTTTCTTGTCACTGAAGTAAGGTCTTTCTTGTCACTGAAGTAAGGTCTTTCTTGTCACTGAAGTAAGGTCTTTCTTGTCACTGAAGTAAGGTCTTTCTTGTCACTGAAGTAAGGTCTTTCTTGTCACTGAAGTAAGGTCTTTCTTGTCACTGAAGTAAGGTCTTTCTTGTCACTGAAGTAAGGTCTTTCTTGTCACTGAAGTAAGGTCTTTCTTGTCACTGAAGTAAGGTCTTTCTTGTCACTGAAGTAAGGTCTTTCTTGTCACTGAAGTAAGGTCTTTCTTGTCACTGAAGTAAGGTCTTTCTTGTCACTGAAGTAAGGTCTTTCTTGTCACTGAAGTAAGGTCTTTCTTGTCACTGAAGTAAGGTCTTTCTTGTCACTGAAGTAAGGTCTTTCTTGTCACTGAAGTAAGGTCTTTCTTGTCACTGAAGTAAGGTCTTTCTTGTCACTGAAGTAAGGTCTTTCTTGTCACTGAAGTAAGGTCTTTCTTGTCACTGAAGTAAGGTCTTTCTTGTCACTGAAGTAAGGTCTTTCTTGTCACTGAAGTAAGGTCTTTCTTGTCACTGAAGTAAGGTCTTTCTTGTCACTGAAGTAAGGTCTTTCTTGTCACTGAAGTAAGGTCTTTCTTGTCACTGAAGTAAGGTCTTTCTGGTCACTGAAGTAAGGTCTTTCTGGTCACTGAAGTAAGGTATTTCTGGTCACTGAAGTAAGGTCTTTCTGGTCACTGAAGTAAGGTATTTCTGGTCACTGAAGTAAGGTCTTTCTGGTCACTGAAGTAAGGTATTTCTGGTCACTGAAGTAAGGTCTTTCTGGTCACTGAAGTAAGGTATTTCTGGTCACTGAAGTAAGGTCTTTCTGGTCACTGAAGTAAGGTATTTCTGGTCACTGAAGTAAGGTCTTTCTGGTCACTGAAGTAAGGTATTTCTGGTCACTGAAGTAAGGTCTTTCTGGTCACTGAAGTAAGGTATTTCTGGTCACTGAAGTAAGGTCTTTCTGGTCACTGAAGTAAGGTGTTTCTTGTCACTGATGTAAGGTCTTTCTGGTCACTGAAGTAAGGTGTTTCTTGTCACTGAAGTAGGTTCTTTCTTGTCACTGAAGTAAGTTCTGTCTTGTCAATGAAGCAAGGTCTTTTATTGATGTCCTTTTTTCTATTACATGTAGCTGGGTTATGATGACTAAGTTTTCAAAACTTTTTTTTTTAATCTTTTAAGATATATTTTGTATTTTAGGGCTATTCTAGTAATAAGAGAACTTCTTTCTATAAAACTGACTTCTTGCTAGTAGCAAAGAGAAGATCTTCCTTTTATCATACCTACATGTACTTCTACAGGTAATGGTCATATGTATTTCGTTAATCGAAGGAAGACTTAATACCTGTATCCTGTTTGCCATTCATACTGAAGTACGAGAGGGTCTTGTATTTGCCATGCTTGTTTCTTGTATTAAGAGGAATTAAGGTATTGTAATGGTCATACACTGTTTGTTGCAGTATGAGTGGGCTATTTCTTGTAGCGATGCTTACCTCCAGTAGCTGGGTGATGACCTCAGGGTGTCCATTCTGAACAGCTATGTGGAGGGCAGATCTACAGGTCTGATCCACCTCACTAATCTTAGCTCCATTTTTAAGCAGAAAGTTTGTTGTCTGGACGTGACCTTTCCAGCACGCCAACATCAAGGGAGTCATTTGGTCCTCACTCTTCACATTTACATCTCCACCCTATACAACCAGTGTAAAAGTTAGGTTATATATACAAACATAGACAGCGAAACTGAACACTAACTTCATGCTTTTATGTGGTCCACCAATAGATTCCCAAGGTGTTTGGACCAATGAAAGGTACCGTTTCTCAGCTGTTGGATGCTGAGGGTATGGTTTGTTTGATGGCTTAAACATCTAGGTGAAATGTTTTGGCATACATTGTCTGCACAAGCACAAAATAAGTGTTTCATGACCTAATATTTGTTAATTTGATGTCGCAGCCTGAAATATTTATCAAATCGATTTCTTAATTCAGCCATTGTTGGTATTATCACTAAGAAGTTTACAGCCCATACCTGTTGTACAATCAGGGAATACACTGTAATGAGATTTATTCCTTTCGGTCATTCTTGTAAGATGTTCCAACGACCTGTCCATTGGGAGCTCTTACCTTGTTCCTTTGGAATTCTTACCTTGTTCATGAGGACCTCTTACCTTGTTCATGAGGAGCTCTTACCTTGTTCCTTTGGAATTCTTACCTTGTTCATATGAAGCTCTTACCTTGTTGATGAGGAGCTCCACAATCTGATACCTGTTGTACATTGCAGCTCTAAAACAAAGAAAACATTGTTTGTACATTAACTGTCTTATAAGAGGTTAACTTTTATGTGACAGCTTTTAATTGTACATAGGGTTTCTGACCTCAATCTTTGCGCTAGGAGGAAATTGCCTTTAGCTCATTGACAGAGCAGCAGACTGGGAAGCTAGGGTTGTTGGTTAAATCCCTGGTAGAGAAGCACATTATTCTCTTCCTTGTTACATTTGTATATCAGTGTATGCAGACAACACAGTTTTACCAGCACATTCAGACAAAAAACTCGTAAGGTATTGAGCAAGAAATTCACTCAAATATATCATTATTGCTTGAAAACAAATTTTCAATTTCATTTCAGTTTCAGTTCTAGCTTAGAATGTCCAGTTATATTTTGGATAGTATCTCCCTTGTAACAGTTCCCGAATAAGAGTAAGAATATATACCTGTGCAAGATCCCTGTATGTACCTGTACAATATACCTGTGTTTACCTGTGTATGGCTGTCATGTGTTCTTTGTCCCTCTTACTTATGATGGCCTTGTGCGTTAGTAGCAGTTCGGCAATTGGTACGTTGCCATTAACAGCAGCCATATGTAATGGGGCTGAATGGGAGCCCTACAACAACACACAGACATTGACATTCTTAGTAAGCACGTGTTGACAGATAGATAACAGATTGAGGTACTTGTAAATATAACATACTTCATAGACATTGATTCAAAATCAACACTACTGACCAGTACTTCAGAGAAGTTTTCCATCTGTGACACAATAGCATCATATATATACACACACATGGCGTAAAGGACATTCTGACATGATTTTATGGTCCTATATTTTCCATCTTCTACCCTGATTTTACTGACAGACCCTCAAAACCAAACAAATTAAATACAATTATCACTGACAGAGACACAATACATCATGCATGAGGGTGCGGGATGAGAAAACAATTCCTTATGTAATGGAAGAAAGATGTATCTGTAGCAAACTGGGAGGTCTGTGAATTGTTGACTTTGTGCCAGTTACAGTCTAACACGTAGCAATCTGACAAATACAATCAAATACAGCATCCCATCAGAGTGTTTGGAATGGTGCAAACATCAAACACTTGTACCCTCAAGTGATCAGACAGATGTCCAAGTGATCAGACAGTTATCAAAGATTACCTCCAAGTGATCAGACAGATATGAGAGGTTATACTGAAGTGATCTTTTTTTGACAACCTGGTGATCAATTTTAAAGTTTGTTATTAATGGTTGTGTATATGAAGAGAAACAAACAATTTTGACAAATACAATTAAATTGAGTCTTCTGCAAGGTATTGACATTTAAGAGAGAGACAACATCTGGTAGAGAACCAATTTTTAATCATTAGGTTATTGACTCTCATTATAGTTTTGTGTTAGGCACTTCATCTTTGAACTTAGTATAAGGTCTTTGGGAAATTCATATAAATCTTCCATCCAATTCAATATTAGATAATGTTAGATTATAAACGGTGTGAAAACACAAAAGCAAGCAAAAATTTGAAAACTTGTTTATACAGTAAGGGTTTAAGTATGGTCTGGAAGCTACAAATACCATACAACAATTAGGGTAGTCAACAGCAAATTATAGCGAATCAAATAGTTACAATAGTTTACTACAATTGTAACACATGCTGAACACTTACCTCAATCTGTGCGATGCAGGAAGTAATAGTAATTAGTTTTTTATATAAATATATACAAGATGGGCGAAAAGCGCTAGCTGATTATAGTCTTCGTGTTTTGTTTTATTTATAATTTTACCGTCACATGGACATTTAAAACTATTTATCGCAAGATGTTATGTTTAGAAACTTAGAATTAAAATAAATTAAATGAAAAATTACAAACAAAAGAAATTCGGTACTGTCCTACACAGGTACATGTACCTCTTCTTACACTTCATTTGTGTATGAAGTGAATTGTTTAATGAAGATAAACCAAGTTCTAGGATATCAGATTAAAATTGAAAGATTTTTAGAATAGTTGTCTCGAAAAGTTGTAATTCTCAAAATGCACAAAGGGCAATAACTCTCTACAAGCTTATAGGAGCACTGTGTGCGATACACAAATAGTTGATAATTTGTTTTTATGTATGTCTGAAGTTTTCATGCAGAAACAAACCAAACAGACAAAGCTGTTTGCTAACTATATATATATATATATAGGTTTTAAACAATATTGCCCTTTGCCTTATACTTGTACCATGTACTATATGAATTGTAGTTGCTAAGACAACTCATGAAAATGTGCAGAAACAAATAAGTAACAGACAGATCCTACACCAACAAAATTGGTGTTATAGAAAATATGTATGAAAAAATATAAAATCTATATTACATCTAAATGACGAGCATTCAGAAAAATACTTGTTTAGGATTACTTTATATGATAAAAGCTATAGTATTCCTACATTGACCAGGAGTACACACATGGTACACAATAGGCCTGCAAGCATCAGTGTACATGTAGGAATTAGATTGATAGTTCGACACATACCTACAATCTTATGAGGTATTGATGAAAGCTGAGCTTGTATGCTTATGTGCAAACAATCAAGTGTAGTTATGATATTAAGAATATCGACTGAGTTTTATGATATTGGCTGAAAAATTTAGTCTGGAATATGAGGACAGGCCAATTTTCCAATCACCATTAAAATATTCTGTAGGTGTTATCTTGACCTTTATCATATGACTTTTAGATATTAATAACTGTGTGGAATTTCTTGAAAGGTTGAAAACATTAATCGGAAATGAATTTCCAATTATCCTATCATCATACAAGATTCTGTAACTGTGACCTTAACCTGGAACATATGACCTTGACCTTCGACAAGTCTTTCGAGATTAACATATGGAAAAGTTGTGTGAAGGTTACTGAAATTTGGTTGAAAGTAATTTACAGACAAGCCAACTTCCAAAGATTCCCATCAACATATAAGATGCTGCAACTGTGACCTTGACCTTAAACGTATGACATTGATCTTCATTGACCAATGGACTGATTAACAGACAGGATGATGCCAATACAAATTACATGTATATTGGATAACCAATTATATGACAAAATATCTTATTATACAAATTGACACACAGGCCCTTGACGATAGTACCAAGCACTGATATAAAGGTCTGATTGCACTATACATTGGCCAACAGGCTAGGTCTGATGGTATTAATTGACACAGAGTATTTATATAGTCACTTGCTATTCAGGTGTTGTAATGTTAAATAATGGTACTTACATTTCTCTGGTTCACAGAGGCTCCCTTCCTTAGTAGGTAGTCAGCTGTCTGATATCAAGACACAAAAGCTCTATCATAAAATAGAAAATGATAACGGATCATCCTGGTTTTAAAGTATAACTGGTACTACAACTATGACAAATATTGGAGCTTATAAAAGTCTTAAAATAAAATAGACTATGGGGCAAGAGCTCATACTAATTTGATACTATTCTGTAGTCTGTGTACCTGAAGAAACACACTTGTCAATTAAAACACTTGACATCTACCTATGTAGTCTGTGTACATACAGACACACACCTGTCAATTAAAACACTTGACATGTACCTATGTAGTCTGTGCACCCAAAGACACACACCTGTTAATTAAAACACTTGACATCTAACTATGTAGTCTGTGTACATAGAGACACACACCTGTCAATTAAAACACTTGACATGTACCTATGTAGTCTGTGCACCCAAAGACACACACCTGTCAATTAAAACACTTGACATCTACCTGCAGTCTGTGTACCCAAAGACACACACATGTCAATTAAAATCACTTGACATCTACCTATGAAGTGTGTGTACCTTGAGTTTGTTGTTGAGGATAGCCATGTGGAGGGCAGTGTTGCCTTCGTTGTCTCTGTGTGTCAGCAATCTCTCCTTGCCTGCCAGACCATACAGATTCTCACCTGTCAGGACACAAAATTATAGCTATATGCTATTTATGCTGGATACCCCAGAAATCTGTTTATTATCTAAAATCCAAATTCAATGTAACAGATTTTGATGTTGATGATACAATTCATCTTATGATATAATTGTTATTAATTGAAAAATAGGCCATGCCAATGACCAACCCTTTTGTACATTTACAACTATAAAATTGATTTGAAATAAAATAAAATGAGTTTAATATAAACATTCCTACCTGTTTTCAACCCCCCCCCCCGCATCTATATGATGTCATCGACATTCCCCACCTGTTGTCAAAAAAATTCCCATCTGTTGTCATCGACATTCCCCACCTGTTTTCAAAACATCCCCCTTCTGTTGTCATCGACATTCCCCATCTGTTGTCAAAAACATCCCCATCTGGTGTCATCGACATTCCCCACCTGTTGTCAAAAACATTCCCCATCTGTTGTCCCCGACATCCCCCCCCCCTGTTGTCAAAAATATTTCCACCTGTTGACATCGATATTTCCCAAATGTTGTCATAAATATTTCTATCTGTTGTCATCGATATTTCCCACCTGTTGTCATAAATATTTCCACCTGTTGTCATCGACATTCCCCACCTGTTGTCAAAAACATTCCCATCTGTTGTCTTCGACATTCTCCACCTGTTATCAAAAACATTTCCACCTGTTGTCATAAATATTTCCACCTGTTGACATCGATATTTCCCACCTGTTGTCATAAATATTTCCACCTGTTGTCATCGATATTTTCCACCTGTTGTCATAAATATTTCCATCTGTTGTCATCGATATTTCCCAACCTGTTGTCATCAACATTCTCCATCTTTTTTCAAAAACATCCCAACCTGTTGTCATCAACATTCTCCATCTATTTTCAAAAACATCCCAACCTGTTGTCATCAACATTCCCCAACTATTTTCAAAAACATCCCAACCTGTTGTCATCAACATTCTCCATCTATTTTCAAAAACATCCCAACCTGTTGCCATTAACATTCCCCATTTATTTTCAAAAACATCCCAACCTGTTGTCATCAACATTCCCCATCTATTTTCAAAAACATCCCAACCTGTTGTCATCAACATTCTCCATCTATTTTCAAAAACATCCCAACCTGTTGCCATTAACATTCCCCATTTATTTTCAAAAACATCCCAACCTGTTGCCATTAACATTCCCCGTCTATTTTCAAAACCGCCCCAACCTGTTGTCATCAACATTCCTCACCGGTTGTCATCAATGTTCTTTGTCATAATAAATCCTTACCTGTTGCTATAAAGAGCTCTAACAAGTCAATGAGTTCCTCGACCTGTTGTCATCAACATTCCTCACCGGTTGTCATCAATGTTCTTTGTCATAAGAAATCCTTACCTGTTGCTATAAACAGCTCTAACAAGTCAATGAGTTCCTCGGCAGCAGCGAAGTGAAATACCAGTGTTTCATTGATGTCCTCAGCATAGATATTGGCTCCCCTCTCTACCTGTATGTAAAGTAGAGGACAACGCACACTATAACCTGATAAGTAATACACAAGAATATGTGATCTATAAACTACGTATACACATTGATACCATCACGTTTGTATTGTGTTGCCATGGAGATCTTAGTCATACTTACAAGCAGTATGGCCATCTTTGTCTGTCGGTGCATCACCGCATCAAAAAGAGGTGTGAGTTCATCCTCATCTACAGCATTAACAGCGACCTGGGCACCCTCCCCAGTCAGCAATGTCTGTCAACAGACGTCAAGGTCATCACACCATGTAAATAATGAACCATCCTTACCTGTAATCACTTACATGGAAGTTTTACCCTATTGGAAGCAGAAATAATACATTTCCCAGGGAAGCATTTGGTTTCTAGATATGATGTGAACATTGTGGGAGAAAAAGGCACCCAAAATAGTAATCTTTGGTTATCATGTAATTTTTTCTCTCATTAGTTAATTTCAAGTTGTAAAAGACACTTGGTAACCTTTCCATCTTTGAGCAATTTGAGCTCTCTCGAGTAAGATACATATTATAACCGAGAATCACTTGTTGGAGACCCTTCATATAGATAACAGTGTACCTATTAATGATCTTACCTGTGCCATTTGTAGGTTACCATGTCTAGCTGCCAGGTGTAGGGGAGTCTTCATTTTAGCATCTTGACACATCAGTTTAGCATGTGATTGCATTAACAGGTGGGCTGCCTCACAGTTGTTGTTTCTGGCCGCGGTATGTAGAGGACAGTACCTGTACTGGCCTTCCTTGTTCACGTCTAATAAAACAAAGATTATTTGTTTAATCACTCTGCACCCTCTTTTAGCAAGATGACCAAATGAAATGAGGTTGCACTGTTGAAAAGGATGTCTCGGCATGGCTTTTAATGAGGGCTCTTGTTCCTTGAATTAAGCCAAATTTAGGATTTCAATTTTATGAAACGTTATGTATCAATATGGGGACTCAGATATCCTCCATTGATTTTTTTCAAGGGCAAAATGGCGGTAAATCCTGCACTTCCATAGAAATTATTTAGGTAAACTGAGAAATTCCTTTCTTCTATATAATGACACATACAGTACATGTATCCCATTACATTGCGAAAATGATTTCATATATGAATAGGCCTGGTTCCCATACTTTCACCAGTCACAGTTGGGGTACGGGGTACGATGATATTCACAGACAAACATGATAGGAAAGCATTCGGAATGAATCCATTATAACCGGTACTGATACTTATCCCATGTTGATGCTTGGTGTGAAATGATACCAAACACGGTCGACGTTACATGTTACTCAATTCAACTGATAACAAAATATGATGCATCGTATTTGTTTTTTTGTTAATTTTCATTTTCTGTATTCATGACACTTAGCGAATTGTAAATGAGGGGAACATTTCACTTACCGTCAAAGTAGGAAGCAAGCTAAACTGTCTGCGTTCGCTTCTCTTTAAATACCTTGTTTGAGATACTAACGGATGAAAGTGTACTCTTAAAACGTGTTGTTGCAACAAGCATCAGTCCCCATTTCACAAACACGCACTTGAAGATGACTTTTGCTTTCAGAGAAATGATCAAGAAGGGAAGGACATCGAGGAGGTAAACGACTAAACCGTACCAGCAAAGACACGGTTTACTTATTACCTTAAGTACATGTAGTAGAGCAGTTTGTTGCTGTATACGCCTTTGACTATAAGCGATGGCGGCATTCTTTTGGCAAACTACGAACATTTAATTTAGTCTATGATAAAATGGTAATACCCTGAGTCTGCAATGTTAAATCAGTTAATTTGTTAGGTACCAACGACAGAGTTTCCCTGCCCGCTACAATTTTTTGAAGCCTTAAATGTTATAAAGGAATCTTCCTCCAAACCTCCTCTAACCAAACTTGCAGAACTGTCCTTGTAATACCGAATGTTACATGTTCTTTTCGTTATTTGGTCGAACCACCTTACCATGGCAAAACTATTTTGTTAGAGGGAACTAGTTTTCTATAATTTCACGAGAGAATGCCGCCGATGCGTTATCTATGCTGTCTACAGCAGCAAACTTTATCATTACTTTGACTAGAATCCCCCTCCCCTCCTTCCTTCTTGATCAAAAATATAAGTCATAGTCGTGTGTCTCGTCGCTAAACTTTGAGTGGTGCCCTGCGTGTTGCAACAACGCATGTGAACTTAATTCGTTTTGTCTTTGGTGAAACCTGGAGCAGGACACTTAAAGGGAGACGGATATAGACATTTTCTCTGGATCCATACTGGCGGGCTTCCTGTTTTGACCGTAAGTGAGATTTATTCCTCATTTGCAATCCGTTAGGTGTCATGAAAACAGAAATTATATGTTGATAATACACAAAACGATACACACGTGGCATTGTATTGTGTCGTCCGTGGTTGGTGTTGTTTTACGTTAAGCATGGAAGTGCGCCTATTTTTGTTGATTTAGTTTTGGTTTAATTCATAATCTAGCTCAATACTAATGTACCAAATATATGTTTTTCGGAAGACGTGATAAATAGATGTGAGAAATTCTCAGATAATGCTGTTTTTACAAATATTTGGGTTCGTTCTTGGATATGATCATACCCAAATTACTACGATAGGGGAAAAGTTGTGTTGTGCACGAATGCTTGTACATTTCATGCGGTTCTGAATTTAAAATCAGTCATAATCCAACTATTTTGTTTCTTGCATTGAAATGGGCAATGTATCATAACAGAAAAGAAACAAAAAAAAATTCACTTGATTTTTGCCACATGCAATGCTTTATTTGACACTGTTAAATAATGAATTTGGCTCATTTCACAGTGGTATGTGTGTTTTAAAATTCAACAAGATTTAATGTGAATCCCTGGTTCAAACTTAGTTATTTTATAATTTAAATTCTAGTCCATTGGTTCTGCTTCCGGACAAAATAAAGTAACGCTATATCAATAACATTTCTGAAAATGTTGTTCGAAATATGAAGAGAGTACCCTCCTTGGCCCACGTCTAGTGTCTGTAATGGGTTACAATATGAAGAGAGTCCCCTCCTTGGCCCACCTCTAGTGTCTGTAATTGGTAACAATATGAAGAGAGTACCCCACTTGGCCCACGTCTAGTGTCTGTAATTGGTTACATTATGAAGAGAGTACCTCCCTTGGCCCACGTCTAGTGTCTGTAATTGGTTATATATGAAGAGAGTACCCCCTTTGGCCCACGTCTAGTGTCTGTAATTGGTTACAATATGAAGGGAGTACCCCCCTTGGCCCACGTCTAGTAAAGTAACGCTATATCAATAACATTTCTGAAAATGTTGTTCGAAATATGAAGAGAGTACCCTCCTTGGCCCACGTCTAGTGCCTGTAATTGGTTACATTATGAAGAGAGTGCCCTCGTTGGGCAATGGCCGACGTCTAGTGTTTGTAATTGGTTACAATATGAAGAGAGTACCCTCCTTGGCCCACGTTTAGTGTCTGTAATTGGTTACAATATGAAGAGAGTACCCACCTTGGCCCACGTCTAGTGTCTGTAATTGGTTATATATGAAGAGAGTACCCCCTTTGGCCCACGTCTAGTGTCTGTAATTGGTTACAATATGAAGGGAGTACCCCCCTTGGCCCACGTCTAGTGTCTGTAATTGGTTACAATATGAAGAGAGTACCGCTTCCGGACAAAATAAAGTAACGCTATATCAATAACATTTCTGAAAATGTTGTTCGAAATATGAAGAGAGTACCCTCCTTGGCCCACGTCTACTGTCTGTAATTGGTTACAATATGAAGAGAGTCCTCTCCTTGGCCCTCGTCTAGTGTCTGTAATTGGTTACATTATGAAGAGAGTCCCTCCCTTGGCCCACGTCTAGTGTCTGTAATTGGTTATATTATGAAGAGAGTACCCTCCTTGGCCCACGTCCAGTGTCTGTAATTGGTTACTAGTGTCTGTAATTGGTTACAATATGAAGGGAGTACCCCCCTTGGCCCACGTCTAGTAAAGTAACGCTATATCAATAACATTTCTGAAAATGTTGTTCGAAATATGAAGAGAGTACCCTCCTTGGCCCACGTCTAGTGTCTGTAATTGGTTACAATAAGAAGAGAGTCCCCTCCTTGGCCCACGTCTAGTGTCTGTAATTGGTTATATTATGAAGAGAGTACCCTCCTTGGCCCACGTCTAGTGTCTGTAATTGGTTACAATATGAAGGGAGTACCCTCCTTGGCCCACGTTTAGTGTCTGTAATTGGTTACAATATGAAGAGAGTACCCCCCTTTGCCCACGTCTAGTGTCTGTAATTGGTAACAATATGAAGAGAGTACCCCCCTTGGCCCACGTCTAGTGTCTGTAATTGGTTACAATACGAAGAGAGTCCCCCCCTTGGCCCACGTCTAGTGTCTGTAATTGGTAACAATATGAAGAGAGTACCCCCCTTGGCCCACGTTTAGTGTCTGTAATTGGTTACAATATGAAGAGAGTACCGTTACAATATGAAGAGAGTCCCCACCTTGGCCCACGTCTAGTGTCTGTAATTGGTTACATTACGAAGAGAGTCCCCCCCTTGGCCCACGTCTAGTGTCTGTAATTGGTAACAATATGAAGAGAGTACCCCCCTTGGCCCACGTCTAGTGTCTGTAATTGGTTACAATATGAAGAAAGTACCCCCCTTGGCCCACGTCTAGTGTCTGTAATTGGTAACAATATGAAGAGAGTACCCCCCTTGGCCCACGTCTAGTGTCTGTAATTGGTTACAATACGAAGAGAGTCCCCCCCTTGGCCCACGTCTAGTGTCTGTAATTGGTTACAATACGAAGAGAGTCCCCCCCTTGGCCCACGTCTAGTGTCTGTAATTGGTAACAATATGAAGAGAGTACCCCCCTTGGCCCACGTCTAGTGTCTGTAATTGGTAACAATATGAAGAGAGTACCCCCCTTGGCCCACGTTTAGTGTCTGTAATTGGTTACAATATGAAGAGAGTCCCGTCCTTGGGCAATGGCCAACTTCTAGTGTTTGTAATTAGTTACAATATGAAGAGAGACCCCTCCTTGGCCCACGTCTACTGTCTCTAATTGGTTACAATATGAAGGGAGTTCCCCCCTTGGCCCACGTCTAGTGTCTGTAATTGGTAACAATATGAAGAGAGTACCCCCCTTGGCCCACGTCTAGTGTCTGTAATTGGTTACATTATGAAGAGAGGACCCCCTTGGCCCACGTCTAGTGTCTGTAATTGGTTACAATACGAAGAGAGTCCCCCCCTTGGCCCACGTCTAGTGTCTGTAATTGGTAACAATATGAAGAGAGTACCCCCCTTGGCCCACGTCTAGTGTCTGTAATTGGTAACAATATGAAGAGAGTACCCCCCTTGGCCCACGTCTAGTGTCTGTAATTGGTTACAATATGAAGAGAGTCCCCTCCTTGGGCAATGGCCAACTTCTAGTGTTTGTAATTAGTTACAATATGAAGAGAGTCCCCTCCTTGGCCCACGTCTACTGTCTCTAATTGGTTACAATATGAAGGGAGTTCCCTCCTTGGCCCACGTCTAGTGTCTGTAATTGGTTACAATATGAAGAGAGTCCCCTCCTTGGCCCACGTCTAGTGTCTGTATAATTGGTTACAATATGAAGAGAGTCCCCAACTTGGCCCACGTCTAGTGTCTGTAATTGGTTACAATATGAAGAAAGTACCCCCCTTGGCCCACGTTTACTGTCTGTAATTGGTTACCATATGAAGAGAGTCCCCAACTTGGCCCACGTCTAGTGTCTGTAATTGGTTACAATATGAAGAGAATCCCCTCCTTGGCCCACGTCTACTGTCTGTAATTGGTTACCTGCAGTATGTTGTATTAGCACCGACATGACAGCCACAGCGTTGTGTTTGGCTGCCAAATGTAGAGGAGAGTTCCCTAAGTTATCCACCTCATTGACGAGATCAGAAGACTGAGTGAGGAGGTCAGTGACAGCCTTGGCATTATTCTCTCTCACAGCCTGATAAACCAATCACACAGTTTACCATGGGCGATTCTTGTATTTATATTGCAAAATACTGAATGTCTACCGTGTGCACGTCTTTGTATGGGCCATTTCGGCCACAACATACTAATATCGTCAAATCTATAATCACATGCGTTTACATAAAGGGTTTCGTATACAAAAACAAATTTTTATTAAATTATTGTCAAGATTGCTTGGACTTCTTACCATTGTGAAACCTGGTTTGATGAAACTATATGAGCTGTTTCAGTATCTTATTTTATGGAACATAACGTTTAAACTGATCAGTTTATTTTGTAATGAAATCCAGTTAAAAAGTACCGGATGCCAATTTTGTTTGCTATTTTCTATGTTTGTTTACACTGCGGAAAAGAAAATAAACTTTTTTTTATGGATTTTCCGTATGAACAAAAACAAATTGGTTAATTTCAATCCTATCTGCATAGTTGTAGCATGATAATGTAACAGTTTAAAGGTGATGAGTAGACTGTCCTTGTCTTTACTTACATGCCATAAGGTATAGGAACTTGCTTTACTGCTGTCCTCTATGTCATCTTCATCCTCTAGCAAGGAATGCACTTTTGGGGGGTTCTTTACCCCAAACAATATACTAGCCAGCCCCCTCCCCGTGCTCTTCTTGGACCTTTTGGTGGTTGGAAGCTGAGCCTTGGGGACGGTGAGCAGTCCAGGTGATTCCACATCCTTGACTATTCTCTTCTTCACCAAGGATCTGAAGTTATTGGTCTTATCTGGCTCCGTGAAGGCTTGCTGATTCAGCATGAACTTTTCCCCGTCACCAGGATCCACAATAATCTGTGGTGAAGAGCTCTCATCCTCTTTGATGGTAGCCATGATTGACTCCTCCAAGTCCTCCAGGGAGTCAGAAGTATTGGCTGTGTGATATCTGCTTTTACCTGCCTGTATATAACAAACAAAGAACAATGTAAAGTGCATAAACTACGTCAGTAGCAAGCAACGAGATATCCAAAAGGACGTTTCTGATTACAGACCAAAGCCAGTAGTAATCGGTATCAATCGGTATCAGGCGGAGTAGAGTAGTAGAGTAGAGTAGTAGAGTAGTAGAGTAGAGTAGTAGAGTAGTAGAGTAGTCACTACTCGCCTCCGCCTGAAGTTTCAAACATAGATAAATCACAACTCTGTATAATATCAACTTCACCTGACTCAGACACTGTTATTGGCATTTATTTCAGTGTTAAGGCCAATCCATGTTTGCAAGACTCACATGGAACCACAGACTCAGTGTTTAGTGGTATAGCCTACATCACCTAGTCATATACAGCGTGTACAGTTGAGCCACAAATCACCTGTGTAGTACAGTTGTCGGATCAACTTGGATCTTAAAACTACCCAGGATACATAGATTGTACGACCCACCAAAGTCACTCCCAACACAAGGGTTCATAGAACCACATACCCCCTCCCCTCCCGTTCCTGGATCTACAGACACGCTATAGCTGTAAGCCCTGTCTGGTCGTTACCTCTTTCATTGTATGGTGGTTTCACCTACGAGACAATGTAATCGAGAACATCACACCATACCTAAGTGTTTATTGACGTTTTAATCCTTACATGTGTTGGACAGCGCCATGGTTCGGTAAATATAGTTCTACATGTTTACTACAACGATCTCTGTGTTTAAATAAGTCCCGGTATTTTAATTTTGATACCTTTAAGAGCGGGAGTAATTGAGACTTTTAATTACTATTGACTGTTTTATTTCTAATCCGCGTAGTGAAGAACAATAACGACGAATGATTTACACAATTAATTGCACAGATGAATGCATGCCTTTTAAAATGGTAAATGGAACACGATGACTCACTGTCATAAAACATATAGATTATGTGTCCGGTGTATGTCTGGTGGCTGTCAGAAACAAAGAAGACCTCACTAGATTATAGAGTGTCTAAATCATAGTTAATGAAACAACAAGAGCACTGATCTGTCGGTATAGCCCTGCCATTAGAACAGATTGACATTTGACATTAGTACACTGTATACCGGTACCAGGTGTGTACCATACCTGTCGGAAACAGGTAGATAATATAACTGTTTATAGTTAGGGGATTTTCAGTATCTATTCACGAAGCAATATCGGTTGTCTAAAGTGATTGATAATATACACACTTAACATAATATTAATTTTAAATTCAGATATGTATAAAAAAGTTTAAAACACGCTTTTTTTCATCAACTGTATTAAATTTTACTTACTCCATATTTTGATTGTTTGAACTCTTTATGCCCCTGGGCAGTTTAAAGAAGTAACATTATATACGTAACACACAATTTCGTTTGAAATCTGAAGTCTTATAAAGAGAAAGGTTAACTATTAAGTCATGGACAGATGGACGGACAGACACCGTGGTGACGATACTACACCTGTAGTTTCTGAATACGAAGCCCTAATAAGCCATTTATGTGTATACTTCAATATTCACTCTATAGAAATATACACCATGAACAGTTTCTGGACCAACCTGAAGTCGCCAATACTCTGTACAATGGTAGAGTCCAACAATGTGGACAGGTAACTTAGCCTAGAACACTGCTGTAACACAAGGGTAGATACATAAACACCTTAATCATAGCAATTTCATTTGAAGGAGAACCGGCAAATAGTAATCCATTCCACTAAAATATTATCGTTGCCATCAAGGTTACGGCAATCCAAGGGGACTAAGAAATCCACCAGCAGAGAATGCTGGATTTCCGTACATCATCGGTACTTACCTGAAAATCGTCGTCCATTGTAGAACTTTCACCCCTTGGCAAATATGTCAGGTAGTGTTACAGCTAGGTATAGTGTGGTAAAACGTGCACTCCGATACGTCCTGGACTAATTCTGGCAAATGCAGTTTTTGTTATGCTATTTTATCCTTAAGTACTAATAGTGTTAGTATATGTGTAGTTGCAATGTAGTAGTGGACACTAAGGACAACGTATTAACCTGTATTACACAGTCGAATGAACACATTTAGTGATCGAATATTTGTAATCTGCAAACAACCTTTTTATCTAATGATCAATGTTTAAACCTTCAACAAAGTAAATGATACAGATTATAGAACCCCACTTGTCCCTTCAAAATAGCTAGACACCATTAAACATTGGACAAGTCTGATGGTATCACTACCGCATACTTGACCACATGACAGTATCCTTTGGAGCCATGTTCCATTCCCTTCTAAACCTACCTCTGGATTTAAAGACAGACGAAACAAAATCACTTATCACAAAATCGCTTGCACAGTTGATAATATTTTGTAAACAAACTTACCAGATAACAGTAGAAACCGGCAGAATTGCATTGATAATATGGCGCCAGAACATACGTTATTATAATTACCAAACTGTTATGCAGTTGTATTGTTGGCGCTGTAGCTACTTAAAAAAAATGTGATTTTTCAAGGCTTTTCTTTTGAACTACAAAATTAACTTCAATATCATGTCAAAATAAAGCAATATTTGCACGCGTGCTTCTCCTTCGAGACAATATCATTATCGTGTCATATCAATGAAATATATATTGTATTCAACGGGAACCCCATACAAAATATCCTCTATACATTTACCTTTAACAAACACGCAAGTCGTTAATTATATTAAATATCTTGAATGAGTCAATAAGAAGTTAAAGCAGAATGCTAAACAAACAAATGGGACCAATTAATTAAGTACGTATGTACATATCGGTGTCGATATTAATCGGTATAAGTATTAATCATAACGGCCGTGTAATGTACCACAGAACTAGCCAACTTCACACTATAACAGTAGTGAATCCGAGACTCATCAATATTGTATAACAAAACAAATATTCTCTCACAATCAGCTATCTAATCAATGGGAAAGTGGATGTCAAGTGTTGTGTAACTCTGGACAAATCCCAAGTCTACACAGCATAGCCATATATGACATCACGAATATACTACGTAGACCTGCCCTATATATAAGTAAACAACTATGCCAAGGTGTTATAAATCATGTGTTCTAATTCACACTTCTGTGTCTGTATTCATTTGTTTGATGACGAGTATAATAAGAACATTACGCAATAAGCATTATTTACCTCCAGTACTGATTACACAAGTCAGGATTTGTAATTCATATATCATAGCATAAAATACAACAAGTAGGAGCAATAAGTCAAACTATCACACAGAAAATTCAGCAGCTCAAATGAGTGTAAGCAAATTAATAAATAAGTCAGTCCGTATTGTAAATTATGGTGTCATATTGATTTCGAAAGCTGTCATCTCAGCTCGAAATCATAGCTCGCAACTCTGTCTGGGGATTGTGAGTTAATTTATTTGCTGCAATTGTAAAATGTGATGTGTATTACTGTGATTAGAACCTTTTAGTGTGAGCTGTGTGTGTGTGGTGATAGTGATTGTGAACTTTCATTGAGAAATGCTTTTGAGTTTTGATGGTATGATGGTGATTGGTGTGTTGTATAAGTTGTGAGTTGTGCTTGTATGATGGTGATTGGTGAGTTGTGATTGTATGATGGTGATTGGTCCGTTGTGATTGTATGATGGTGATTGGTGAGTTGTGATTGTATGATGGTGATTGGTGTGTTGTATAAGTTGTGATTGTATGATGGTGATTGGTGAGTTGTGATTGTACGATGGTGATTGGTGAGTTGTGATTGTATGATGGTGATTGGTGTGTTTTATAAGTTGTGAGTCGTGATTTTATGATGGGGATTGGTTAGTTGTGATTGTACGATGGTGATTGGGGAGTTGTGATTGTATGATGGTGATTGGTGAGTTGTGATTGTATGATGGTGATTGGTGAGTTGTATAAGTTGTGATTGTGATTGTATGATGGTGATTGGTGAGTTGTGATTGTATGATGGTAATTGGTGTGTTGCATAAATTGTGAGTGGTGATTGGTGTGTTGTATAAGTTGTGATTGTATGTGGGTGATTGGTGAGTTGTGATTGTATGATGGTGATTGGTGAGCTGTTGGTGAGCTGTGATTGTATGATGGTGATTGGTGTGTTGTGATTGTATGATGGTGATTGGTGAGTTGTGATTATATGATGGTGATTGGTGAGTTGTATAAATTGTGAGTTGTGATTGTATGATGGTGATTGGTGAGCTGTTGGAGAGCTGTGATTGTATGATGGAGATTGGTGTGTTGTGATTATATGATGGTGATTGGTGAGTTGTATAAATTGTGAGATGTGATTGTATGATGGTGATTGGTGTGTTGTATAAACTGTGATTTTAGATTGTATGATGGTGATTGGTGAGTTGTGATTGTATGATGGTGATTGGTGTGTTGTATAAACTGTGATTTTAGATTGTATGATGGTGATTGGTGAGTTGTATCTATTATGAGCTGTGATTATGGGGTTGTGATCGGTGAGTTGTATAAATCGTGAGTTGTGACTGTGAGCTATAATTGTCATAATTTTGGGCTGTAGTTTCTGAATGTGAGTTTTGATTGTGAAATGTGATTAAGAGCTGTATTTGTCAGCTTTGCTTGCGAGTCAGAACTGTCACATACACTAGCATAACTATACTAAATACAGAAAGTCTTAACGCTAATAAAGTCACATACACTAGCATAACTAAATACAGAAAGTCATAACGCTAATAAAGTCACATACACTAGCAAAGCTATTCTAAACACAGGAAGCTATACACTATGAAAGCCATTAACACTAGCAAAGCTATTCTAAACTGGAAACAGTGAAATGATGTCTGTTTTGACACAACCAAAATACCATTGCAACAGACCAGAAAGCGTATTTACCTGTTCCCTGACAGCTCCGGAAACGTCTAGAGGCAATTGTTCGATACACCTTTTCTGTGGATACATGAGTATCCTATTGCGTAATTCCTATCACATTGACTTTTGGAAATCCCTAGCACAACCTTCAGGTTTGATCCCACATGTAAGTACGGCTACAGTCACAGTCAAACCGTCATGCCGTATGTCCCATCATCTCGTTTGTGAGATGTTTATAACAGAGAGGAAAGTGTAACGCTTCAAAAGATACAATAATACGCATTTTAATTATTCAAAGGCTATATATGCAACAAACCTTTGACATTGGTGAATGCCGATGAGGACTAGAATGTATTTAAACGTTTTTGCAATCTCATTAATGGACTGATTTTCTGAGAGCCGCGGCTTCCCTGGTGACCAACTACAATCAAGTTATTAATTGTAACCCATCAGCTCACATGTATAGTTTGATATCTGTATAAACACATATCCTGCTATCCCAGCCTGATTCCATCAGCACCAATGATCGGGTACATAAGTACATAGGAGTCTCAGGATCAGGTGTCAGTGACTGTGCTGTATACAGAACGCTGGAATAGTCGGGGCGACATTCGCCACACTTAATCAGACATGATTATTGAATACACCCTCATCACAGACCTCGTTATTATAAAAATGAGGATTTGTTTGATCAATCTGGGATAACAGTTCATGATAAAAGCATGCTAACAGCATTCTCCCGCCTATCCCACATAAACCACTTTATGTGTGAGACGCAATACCATTCCTAAGGACAAAGTAAACATATTTATGTGACGCTATCAACACACTTGTCGTGAAGTTTCATTTAGGGAAATTTCATGTGAGCATGTTTTTCAATGGTAAATTTAAATTAAGGAACGCTTTAGAAACTAGAGCAAGATTTAGATAGTATATATTCATGTAATTCACCTGCATCTCTATATCCTAAGGAAAAAATATTTATAATGATTCTTATCATATTTGTACTCAATTTATCATAATATTGTTATAAGGCAATGTTCAAATCAACCCTGGACATGTATTAACTCTGATAATATGTCATTTCCTCATCTTACTGTTAGTTCCATACGTAACAAACTACATCTACTAGACAAGGGTTTGCTGATGTTGATATTCTATGTTTCACTGAAACACATTTAAATAATACTATAAATACAGAAATGTAATAGTGATATCGTACTGGAATCCCTCCATAACTATATAGAGAAGATTGTAAAGACAAACATCTGGAGGAGTTATTATCTATGACAAAAATGATATCCATGCTACTAGAAGATTTGATATAGTTATAAATATATCATTTAAAGTATTAAACGAGATGTCATTTAAACTATTTTGTACAAAGGTGAAGTTAACCTGTATGAAATCAATGTGAGTGTGTCACCTGCTGATGGGGTATACCGTCACAGTATCAGTGGCACCAAAACGAAGACAAGATGTTGGTTTAGAACAAGAATGTTACTACTTTAAACATGTGCCACAGGATATTGTTAAAAACAGTTTGATGTACTAAATGTAGGTAGATATTCAATTTACTGACGTTGATGTGGCACGTGGTAAATGTGTAAATGGTAGATGTAAAAATCTGTACGTGGTACATATGTAATCACTCTAATTAAAGGGGCGAGTAACGTATACTGTGGCATTGTGTGTATGAAAGTAGCATATGAGAACTCTTGTTGAGTGTAACCACACTCTTTGGGTTGGTCCATTGTGTAACTGTTAACAGCATTAATTGACACATGAGTATCGCTGTAGGAACAAAGGCGGTCACTTGACAAGTAGCACAGGACATATAGTGTCTATTCAAGTATTTAAAGTGTGTTTATACACACACAAATCCATCCAACAATAACATTTTCATATCTGAAAGTGATTACTTTCACCAAACAGTCGTTGGAAAGAAGTTAACAAGCATGGTTGTCAAGGTAAATACAAATGGTATTCCCAGTAACATACACTAACAAGATCACCACAAGTACAACTTTAGAGAACAATGTCGCTTTTCAGGTCTATATAACGAAATATTGACCTCGATAAAAGTCCATAATTGAAAAATATAAAAGTTGGAGGTGGCGAAATTCCGATATTCAATAGGTGCGAAGACAAAATCAGTTTTTACATTAGGCTGTAAGAATACAGAATACAACCTATGTGACAGTGAACAAAGACTTCATAGCATTTTAGATTATTTAACATGTAAAATATAGATACCATATTTAAAGCTTAACAAGTTAAAAAAGTCTTCTGCATGGATTTCTATTTAAAAATTACACATTTCATTAATGAACAATAGTCCATCCAAGCAATATAAATACAACCGATAATAAAACGACCTTATCATACACCAACCAATCACAACACAACCGATAATATACTACATTATCATACACCAACCAACCACAACACAACCGATAATGAACTACCTCATCATACACCAATCAATCACAACACCTCCGATAATGAACTACCTCATCATACACCAATCAATCACAACACAACCGATAATAAAACTACCTTATCATACACCAACCAATCACAACACAACCGATAATATACTACATTATCATACACCAACCAACCACAACACAACCGATAATGAACTACCTCATCATACACCAATCAATCACAACACCTCCGATAATGAACTACCTCATCATACACCATTCAATCACAACACAACCGATAATATACTACCTTATCATACACCAACCAACCACAACACAACCGATAATGAACTACCTCATCATACACCAATCAATCACAACACAGCCGATAATATACTACCTAATCATAAACCAATCAATCACAACACAGCCGATAATATACTACCTTATCATACACCATTCACTCACAACAAAGCCGATAATATACTACCTAATCATAAACCAATCAATCACAACACAGCCGATAATAAACTACCTTATCATACACCAATCAATCACAACAAAGCCGATAGTAAACTACCTAATCATACACCAACCAATCACAACACCACCGATAATATACTATCTAATCATTAACCAACCTATCACAATACCGCCGACAATATACTACCTTATTATAAACCAACCAATCACAACACCGCCGACAATATACTACCTTATCATAAACCAACCAATCACAACACCGCCGACAATATACTACCTTATCACAAAGCAACCAATCACAACACAACCGATAATAAACTACCTTATCATACACCAACCAATCACAGCACAACCGATAATAAAATTACCTAATAATTCACCAACCAATCACAGCACAACCGATAAAAAAAAAAGCTATTCATACACCAACCAATCACAACACAGCCGATAATAAACTACCTAATCATACACAAACCAATCACAATACAACCGATAATAAACCAGCTATTCATACACCAACCAATCACAACACCACCGATAATATACTACCTAATCATACACCAACCAATCACAACACAACCGATAATTAACCAGCTATTCATACCCAAACCAATCACAACACAACCGATAATAAACTACCTAATCATACACCAACCAATCACAACACAACCGATAATATACTATCTAATCATAAACCAACCAATCACAACACAACCGATAATAAACTACCTTATCATTAACAAACCAATCACAACACAACCGACAATATACTACCTTATCATAAACCAACCAATCACAACACAACCGATAATAAACCAGCTATTCATACCCCAACCAATCACAACACAGCCGATAATAAACTACCTAATCATACACCAACCAATCACAGCACAACCGATAATAAACTACCTAATCATAACCCAACCAATCACAGCCCAGTCGATAATAAACTACCTCATCATAGACCAACCAATCACAAAACAACCGATAATGAACTACCTAATCATAAACCAACCAATCACAAAACACCCGATAATGAACTACCTAATCATAAACCAACCAATCACAAAACACCCGATAATGAACTACCTAATCATAAACCAACCAATCACAGCACAACCGATAATAAACTACCTAATCATAAACCAACCAATCACAAAACACCCGATAATGAACTACCTAATCATAAACCAACCAATCACAGCACAACCGATAATAAACTACCTCATCATAAACAAACCAATCACAGCCCAACCGATAATATACTATGTAATCATAAACCAACCAATCACAACACAGCCGATAATAAACTACCTAATCATACACCAACCAATCACAGCACAACCGATAATAAACTACCTCATCATAAACCAACAAATCACAAAACAATCGATAATGAACTACCTAATCATAAACCAACCAATCACAACACATCCGATAATAAACTACCTAATCATAAACCAACCAATCACAGCACAACCGATAATAAACTACCTCATCATAAACCAACCAATCACAGCCCAACCGATAATATACTATGTAATCATAAACCAACCAATCACAACACAACCGATAATATACTATATAATCATAAACCAACCAATCACAAAACAACCGATAATGAACTACCTAATCATAAACCAACCAATCACAACACAACCGATAATATACTATAAAATCATAAACCAACCAATCACAAAACAACCGATAATGAACTACCTAATCATAAACCAACCAATCACAACACAACCGATAATTTACTATCTGATCATAAACAAACCAATCACAGCACAGCCGATAATAAACTACCTCATCATAAACCAACCAATCACAACACAACCGATAATATACTATCTAATCATAAACCAACCAATCACAGCACAGCCGATATTTAACTACCTCATCATAAACCAACCATCACAACACAACCGATAATATACTATCTAATCATAAACCAACCAATCACAGCACAGCCGATAATAAACTACCTACTCATACACCAACCAACCACCCACAACACAACCGATAATATACTATCTAATTCAGCTGATTTTATTGTAATTCTTTGAGAAAAATAACTGTGTTTCTTTAATGTTACAATAAAATGGTTTCATAATTGTCACGTTACAATAATTTGCGATTATTATATTCGATTTTATCATTCAAACAAAGTATTTTTTTTATTCAAAAAAGATAAAAATGATTGTATTGCAAAACTTTATATGTCTGTATAATTGAAGAGGGTTAATTACTTTGTAAATG